GCTTCCTGTCACTATGGGAAAATGGCTCAGAAACGGTATACCGTCAAAAACAAGCGAGTCGTACCCAAGGACAATAACCCTCCGAACTCGCCAGAGCTGCTCCCAATTGAAAAATATTGGGCAATCGTTAAGCGGAACTTCAAGAAAACTCAGAAAACAGTTAGAATTGAGAAACAGTTGGAAGCAAATTGACGTTCAGCATCAAATAAGGTTGATACAACAGCGGTACAAAATCTGATGGAAGGTGTGAAACGCAATCGGAAAATCGGAAGCCTAATAAAATAATTTTCCTGTATTTTGTAGTCACTGAACTTCAAAAAGAAATAAAGTTTGATCATTTATGCAATAACATATTCATTGTGCACTTAATCGTGATTGACCAATTTTTGACCGTTCCATCCTTTAATGTTGTGCTGCAAGAGATTTAAAACAATGATATCGAAAATTTCTAAAATTAAATTAATGAACGATTGATGTTTGAATGCAAGAACGTAGAACTAAAACAATAAGGTTAAAAAATATCATAAGCATATTCTGATATAAAGCTTGCAGTATCTCCATTAAAATGGCAAGTGTTCTTAAAAACCATGTCGATCTTATGACAACGGTTCTCACAATTCGAGTGGAATCAGTTCATCAGTACCTTAAATGAGTACGTTTCCATGAGTTAGCATCGTTTCGAAATCTAAATTTCTGACATCGATCTAACATCAATATGATCCAGATTATGGTTGAAAAATCAAATTCCAGTTGAGTTCATACATATATATATAATTTTGAGATTTTCTTCATAATCTAATAAAAAAACAAATCAATCAAATCACATGATTCAGAAACCAATTCAAACATTTGTACAACACGTGACCATGTTGTTCTTTTCATCGTTAAATCCCAGAATCGAATGCAGTAAATAATGTCAGCATTTCATTATCAGAACCTCATCAAACTTTGAAAACAATTTTGTAAACAACTTGTAAGCGAGCCGACACTTTAAAACCGGTCATTGGACGAACGCCACAAGGCGTGTGTCTTGTCTTTATATTTTTTTTTTTCATCCGAAAGGCAACAGCAACAACGGCTGGGAAGAATGGCCCTATGGAGGAAAGGGCACCGCGGAAGGTCCGTTCCAGAACAACATGTGAAAAGGGCATACAAGCTTTTTGTAAACAAACCTTTGTAGGCCCTTTTCTCACCAACCGAGAGTCGCCCACGCAAACCAGCAATATCATCGGGAAGGGGAAAGTGTCCCCTACCCGGTGGTGTTAAAGGTTTGCGTTGGTGTCATATGGGTGGCGAGAAAAGGGCATAAGAAGGTTTGTTTACAAAAAGCGTGTATGCCCTTTTCACATGTTGTTCTGGCGTTGATATTAAGTGTGATTTTCGGCACGCTAGTCTTTTTACCCATGTTCATAGTTATCTGCTCTTAAGCATCGCACAGCTTGAATGAAGCCCATCTGTGGGCCAGGTACGAGCTGGCGGAGGAGGGACCAGCAAGCAAAATAACTACAAAAAGAAAAACAAGCATTTCGGACGAAAACGCCAATGCCAGGCAACTCACGACCCAACCTCGCTCGAAGGAAGAAAGGTACAGAATCCAAGAATAAGGAAGATAAACCGTCTTGGGATAGGTGCTTAGCAGCACTGGTGGTAAAGGTGAGATTTTACAATTTAGTGTCTTTTCTGTTTCTCGGATGCTGACTGAGAGGGGGCAATGAATGCTGTGACTTTGGAAACCGTGCCGGTGGGTAGCTTTATAGCCCTTTAAGAACGATTGTGCTACCATGCGAAGTTACTCCTTTGGATGGTGCTGGGGCACGATTTCCAAGTAATTCTCACATGCCTTGCGATCACTTCACTACCGGGTGTGAGATACTACATGCATGGCGGCACCTAGAAAGGTGACCTGATCGGTATCAGGTCCACGACTGCGGAATGACGTTTCTAGGCGCCTGTGAGCACGTTAATGAACTGTTTATCGTTTGTTCGAGAATTGTATATGTATATCTATATAGGATAGAGCTACTTTTTAAACCAAATGCTGTAACACGATAAAATCTTTCATATAGGTCCAGGCAGTTAGAATCAGGAAGTAACAAGTCAGGATGGGTTTGAGTATGTAAGGTAGTGAGTGCTCATTTGATAATCAGATAGTAGATCAGAAATGGGACACTGCAGTGAACGGGTAGATGGACTCATAGGACAATACCGAATCTCTCGATTTGGGAGACGGCAGACGGGAGAAATAAACTTCCAAGCAATTCGTAAATGACGCAATTCCTTTGTAGTGCCTTCGGTAAGTATCTTCATCGTTTCAAACATGTAAGGTCACCACTCTGCCCGGGGTGTGGTAACGAGCAGCGAGAAGGAAACACATGGTCTTCGAATGCCCAAAATTTAGGTACTTGGTTAATTGTTTGCTAAGGGAAATTAATCAGATTTTTGCTCAAATTTTGCCATTTTGGACTTTGTAAAATTTTCTAAATTGCATATTTGAAATTTTTATAAAAATGGAAACGGCATTACTGATCGAAATGACATTCTAGCGTTTTGCGAATTTTTGTTTATATATTTTTTTAAATTAATTAAATAAATAATTAGTTTAATTTTTACATAAGCAATTAGAAATATTTCAACTGTTTATGTAAGATCAGAACATCCCTGTGTCGAGGATACAACTTTGTTATAAAAACTCGAACCTACTGTGAGCCACTGTAAATTTGCATACTTTCTGGAGGCGGCATGAAATGGGTTGCCAGACAAATGGTTAAGTGCATTTATTTTAATAGAGAACCTGATGTTTTGTAGATGTCAAGCTTTTGGAACTTTGTTATTGATTTGATACTGAAATAGCTGAGTTCGCTATTGAAACGATATTGCTGGAAAAAATTTCAGATAGTTTTTCTTGATATTTTACTTTTTATATCGTGGTAATGCTTATCATTTCTTGATTCAAGATCATAATTATGAAAGCAAAAGCTTCACTAAATCGTTAATCGAAGTGTCGTTAACTTCAGAACAGTTTTTTTTCTCTTATGGCTTTCTTTTTTTGACGTAGGATTACGTCTTTCGGCAACATATTGGGGGTACAATAAAAAAAAACCGTTAGAAAAGTGGTCAGGATTTGACCACTAATAACTCTGTCAATAGCGGATGGATATTAATTCTAAACATGTCAATCGATTGGAATGTCATCTATAAATCTGATAAAATGAACACTTTACCAATTTCAAAACGTCCCTTTTGAAAATTGCACGAATGTGCAACTTTTGCTACAATAATGAAAAAGTTAACCAATTGACTGCGAAAAGCGGTTTCGGTGCGTGGCGTTGTTGATTGTTCTACAGTACACAACGAAAGGCTACCCGCAAGCGCAATCGAAATAAGAATGCAGCCAAGTTATCAACGAAAGAGAGATTCGATGAAGATAATCGATCAATGTAGATTGGTTTATTTGAAAAGTGACGCGAGACTTGTCAATGTCATCAATCGGATGTCAGTTCTCATAAGTTTAAATCTAACATACCATGTATTTTCAAGGCAACATAGTGGGTGCAATTTCAAAAACCAAAGTCGGTCATTGCATGAAAGTGGCCAGATTTTAATTATTAATACGCCAATCGATAGGAAATTTTTCTACGAATCTGTTGAAACTAAGACTATACATTTTCAAAGGGTCACTATTGAAAATAGCACGAATGTGCAACTGTTGCTATGATAATTAAAATTATCAGCGATTGCCTTTTTGACGCAATAAAATTCTTCCCGTATGTTCTTAATAAGAGGGGTTTAAAATTTGCATTAAAGAAAGAATTCCACAGCATTGCTCTAAACTGGATTCCACGCTTTCAATCAACCCATTGGTCCTTTTCAAGACCACAAATGACTGATAATAGAGTTAACTAAAGACTTCAAATAAGACATTGTATCCAAGACATATCGTCCAGGATTGACTATATGGACACCGACATAACGAGTTAAGAAATCAATTTAATATTTACTATACTTTAACTGTGACATCAAAACTACCTTTCGTAATCCTCCGTCGTTTCTTGGATACAACCTCTTACTTTTTTTTTCTTTTACATGGCTTTCTCAGTCTAGGGAAATGCAAAACTAACTGTCTAGGTAGATTACCCTAGACTGAGAAAGCCATATAAAAGAAATCTCCATACGTACCAGTCGGAAAATATAATAAATCACTAAGATGGCTGATCTACACGGTAGCTTTTTAAAACAAATAGAAACAACACGACGCTGCACGCAATTTCAAGGACTATGCCACACATAATGTTAAACTATGCAAACTATCCAGCTCAACGTCAAAGGCAAGTACGATAATTTAATGTACTCGATGATCCGTTCATCGCTTGCAGCCAATTTCCGACAGCCCTACCTCATCAGCCATCACAATTCAACCGGACACTGGGACGCACCGAAGTTGGCCTCATGGAAGCCCTTGTATCTCCCTCCACAGTCGAGCCATTCCAGCCAGCGTTCAGCGGTCGTCCCAGCCCTGCGTGTGGGAGTAGTGCAGTGGTCTTCCAACTCGACAGCATAGGCAAGTCAACTTCTGTTATCGACTCAACGACTCCTGATCCGCTCATTGCTTCCAGCCAATATTCGCCTGCACCATCAAGGCATCCAAGTTGCTCAGATTCTAGGATGTATTGAAACTATACCTGCTCCTTCAGACTTGCTGCTGTATTATCAGAACGTCGGTGGTATCAACTGTGATGTCGACGATTTTCGCGTAGCTACCTCGGATCTTTGCTACGACATCATTATTCTCACGGAGACATGGTTGGATTCACGCACGCTCTCTCATCAGGTGTTCGGCGACGATTATGAAGTTTTCCGTTGCTCACTGTAAGCCGTATATTAATATCGACCAGCATGGTTTCATGGCTGGTCGCTCCACTGCCACCAACTTGCTGTGCCTTACTTCCTACATCTCTAACAGTATGTCGGATCATGCTCAGACGGATGTTATTTATACTGACTTATCACCGCATAACAATCGCTAAACTGGACAGGCTTGGTATCCACAGCTGCCTTTTGCAATGGTTTCAGTCGTACCTTAGCGATCGCTATCTTACTGTTGTCATTGGTGATCACCAGTCCCGTACGTTCACTGCCACATCTGGCATACCTCAGGGTAGTCACCTGGGACCGCTGATTTTCCTGATTTATTTCAACGACGTGAATCTGGTAATTGAGAAACCACGATTATCTTACGCAGATGACCTTAAACTGTACCTCCGAATTCACTCAATTGAAGACTGTTGCTTCCTTCAACGTCAGCTGAATGCTTTTGCTGATTGGTGTATTCTGAATCGTATGGAGGTTAACCCGTCCAAATGCTCGGTTATCTCTTTTTCGCGCAAGAAACAGCCAAATTGAGGACCTAGGTGTGATTCTAGATACAAAATTCTCTTTCAAGCAGCACATCTCGCACGCCGTCGACAAAGCTTCCAGAATTCTAGGGGTTATCTTCAGGATTGCCAAAGACTTCACGGATATCTACTGCCTTAAATCGTTGTACTGCTCCTTGTCTCGCTCCATATTAGAATACTGCTCGGTTGTCTGGACTCCTCACTACAACAACGGTGTCGAAAGAGTTGAGTCAGTTCAGCGACGGTTCCTGAGATATGCGCTACGTAAACTGCCGTGGACGGATCCCTTCCGATTGCCTAGCTACGAAAGTCGTTTGCAACTGATCCATCTGGAGCGCCTGTCGGTCCGAAGAGATACAGCAAGGGCATTGCTAATTGCGGATATTTTGCAAAGACGCACCGATTGCCCTGTCCTCCTTGAGCAAATTGACATCAATGTTCAACCCCGAGCCCTACGGAATAATTCAATGCTGCGCCTGCCCATACAGCGAACTAATTATAGCATGTTCGGTGCAATCTGTGGTTTACAGATACTCTTCAATAGGGTCTCCGCACTGTTTGATTTTGACCTGACTCGCCAGCTGCTTCGCCGGAGGCAGTGATGCAAAATTTCATGACACTCACGTGACACTCGTCTTCGCATCAACCGACTATCGCTGACAGATCGTTTTGTCACGCAGTGAGAGTTAGAGCCATGACAAACAACAATCACAAGTAATGGTCGCTGCTCACAAGCAAAACGTTACACTCGCTGCTGATGATGAAAAGCACAACGAAAACAGTGAAGACTTCTGCAGTACGATCATGAGAAAAAGCGAAACGACAGAAGAAAATGAAAACAATGCCTACGCATTCCAAGTTCGTCTCGGCAGGCGTGACTGTGTGAGTTACAAACAAAGCAGGCACCATGATACGGAAGCTGTTGGGTTAACTCACCAACACACTCACATAAGCAAGCAAAGCAGCAACTGCTTCAAAACGAGCACAGATGAGAGTCGTGATTGTCGGGAATGACCAGATCGGCGATGGATCACAACAGAAGACGACATTCATCAGTTGCTTTTTACTTCTTTCGTCAACTTGATGGATGGTCATGGAGAGAGCTTCGACGAGCACATTGATAGGAATGTACAAAGCGTTACTACCATCAGCTGTTTGGCGATAGTGATTGTGATAGGTCGCAACTCTGGCCGGAGGTTTAGTTCGTTTGTTTCTAGATCAGTTTAGTTTGTTTAGTAATGTTCCTTTTTTTACGAGATGACTATCTATGTACTTATTGATGTTTTGTTTGAGTACTTTTCATGTTTAGTTTAAGTTACATCATTGGGGCAAATAACGCCTGTTGATGTTCAGTCATATAAATAAATTATAAATTATGAACGTAAGGAAGGATTTTCAATTACAATTTCGGAGGAATGGTGGTTTTCCCGCGCACATCGTCAATACATTGAAGTGCGTATACCCACTACTCGAAGACAACAACCCCTATATTCCGCATTTAGAAAAGATCATAGGTCGGTTCAAGAAATCAGTGCTTAACATCGAGCTCAAGCATACGTTCCACAAGATCAAGACGTCCAAACAAGCAATGTTTCTAGCACAACGAAACATCGAGACCATAACCAGTTCGTCTCTCATGTCAGAGTTTGTCGATACACAACTCAGAGCTTACACGTCTCACAAAACTCAAACGGAACGTACTACACGTAACAAGCTTGATCACCTTCTTGCCAGTTCTCAATCGCAGAACGATGCCACCCCAATTTTCAACGAAAAAGCGATAAAGAATGCCACTGACGTAGCTCTGCCAACCGAAATGGAAACATTACTCAGATTAGGTCCGAAATTCACACTCCCAATACAGAGGATCGGACCGAACACTGCCCAAGTAACCAAAAGTTCTGATAAAAGGCTATTTATGGCTTAAGCACCTTGGTTGAAGGTGGTCTATAGAATTCTAAGCAGCCTCATTTTTAAGTCGTTATAAGAACTTGAAAGTTCCGGTACCATAATTGAAGAGCATTGTAAGCAGCCTCTGGTGGAACTTGAACGGAACTTTTAGAAAATAAATTAAAAAAGGTTTTTGTCCTCTACATCCAATTCTATACTTAAGTTCGCACTTTTATGAAAGTTATTTCTATAGGCAGGTATTAATGTGTATTGATTTATCAGCATAAGTATTAGTAATGGAGCTGGTTGAAGAATTAAACCCAGTCTTTCTGCGTGAGAGTCTCAGCACGAACCACTACGTCATCTGAAATATATTAAAGTGATCTGTTGTCCCACCTATTGTTGGAGTTTTCTGAGCCAGCTGACTGACTTGAGTACGAAACACAACACCTTGATGAATTTAAATTGGTATGGTATTCCATCACACTTGTGGCGCAGTGGTTAGGAATCGTAGATCACATGCCGATTACAAGGGTTCGAATCCAGGAAATCACTTTTAAATTCATTTTTTATTTTTGGATGGAATGTTGCATAAATATAAGAATTATGACTTATTCGGGCAACTGATTATTTCATATTTACGTACATTAAATTTTGTTACAAAAAAAGATTTGTGCGGATTGCTTCATGTGACTTGAAAGTTCTGTCGGAACATTATTTGAACTTTATGGAACTTAAAAGTTCTGTCGGAACTTTATTTGAAATTTATGGAACTTGGAAGTGTTGAATGCGGAACTTTTGGTTACTTGGGTGTTTATCACCTCATTGCGGATGTGGAATCCATCTACGGTCTAACCCGGATAGGAAGGTACAGGTTAGAAATAGGTGTCTGATCGGTACACGCACCCAGAATTGATCATTTTGTCAAGCTTCTGCATTCATGTTCCATCAGATGTCACTGCTGTTGTTTGCGGTGACATCTATCGGAAACTACTCATAATCTGTTTTCCGTTAATTGTTCACAGATGACACTGCAGTGCAAAACATGTCTGGTACCTCTATATATGCATTTAGATTAACATTCGAAGTCCCTCCTTTTTTACACATTCTGCCCACAAAATAGCTCACCCCTCACAGAATTTCCAGCCGAATTTTATGTATGGGGCGGGGCATAAAGTATCTTTTACGCAGAATATGTAAGAAAGGAGGGATTTCAAATGTTAAAGTAAATGCATATATAGAGGTGCCAGACATGTTTTGTGGTGTCAGGTACTCTATTTTGTAATCTGTGAAAGGGAAATCACAAATCGAGTGTCAACAAAATACATGGCATGTTGAGTGATTGAGGTAGTGAGAGCAAATTTTCTCTCTCAAATTTGAATTTGTTGGCTCTCTGGGAACTGGTAGTAAAGCAGGTAAAACTGTATGGGGAAAAATCATTTTTAATTAATTGTAGCTTGTTTAACAATAACTTCCGGGAAAAAAACTGAATGACAAAGTCCCTGATTAATTTCTTTTGGTTTTCGTTCACTTTTTTCACCTGAATATGCACCGAAAGCGAATTATTCCCACTTCTCTCAATGTATGTATGGGGATTTTTATCACTTCCTACCAGCGGGACAGCGCCATCTCTGTGGAAAATGGTCAAACAAAATGATTAATTACTTATCACGACTACAAGCTCACGCACAAAAAATCCCACTAATCCAGTTCTGCACCAGTGTTGTCTCCATAACCAAAAAGTTCTTAGCCAAACTGTGTGTCCTCGAGTTTGACAAGGGAAAGAGAACGGTGGTAATGCGACGTCAAGAATATGATACGAAAATGATGGAAATACTAGACAATTCGACGTACAAAGTGCTGAAAAGGGATCCAACCAACACCCTTCAGCAGACCACCAACACCATGGCTAAACGATTAGCAGATCTGAAGCTGATCGATCGATGCACCTGTAGGACACTCCAAACACAAACATCTACCTACACACGGATTTATGGACAACCTAAAGCACATAAACCAAACCTCCCGTTGCGCCCTGTTGTTCCAAACATAACTGCTCCAACATATCAGCTCTCCAAGCTCGTAGCAGGAATACTACAAAGCTCGTTCAAAAGCGCATACAATATCAAGGATATTTTCACGTTTGCAACCTATGTACATCAACTATGTTACACTGCTACCGGATCATGTACTCTTATCTTTCGATGTAATATTGCTTTTTACAAACATTCCGAAAGATTTGGTTATACGCAGCATGGACAGACATCAAAGAAGGAACAAATATCAACCTACATATGCTCCTGGAAATGACAGATTTATGCCTTAACAACAGTTATTTTCAAATTAACTAGAAACAAATACTACCAACAGATGTTTGGAACCACTATGGATATTCCACTATCACCCATTCTTGCAGATTATGTAATGGAAGGCTTACTGGATGTGGTAATCGGAAAGTTAAACTTTCTCATACCAGTGTTCCTCACTCTATCCAAATCTGAGGTGCTAAACATACTTACGGCCTTCAACCAGTACAACCCACACCTACAATTCACAATCATTCCGTCTCGAGCACTGAGCCGGTTTACACGGTCCCGGTCTCGTCACAAGACATTCAGTACTGATTGTGATTTTTTTTTTTCGTATCACAGTGCAGTGTCCAGGTGATTAGCGCGCGTGTATCGGAAGCACCGGAATTCAGCGAGGCCGTTTATTTCGTGTGTTCACCTCTAAACTTGTGAAAGGTCATCATCACCATCATCGTCATTAATGTTGACCTCACCATCTGCAGCCGGGGCCTCATAGCCTAGTCAGTAAAGGCACGGTATTACCAAGCCGGAGGTGGCGGGTTCGATTCCCAGTCCGGTCGAGGGAATCTTTCGGGTTGGAAATTTGCTCGACTTCCATGGGCATAAGCGTATC